ACAAAGCCTTGAGTGCTTGCTCATTTGGTGGGTCAGAGTCTTCCTGAATGCAGAAAAATATAGACAAGCACTCTATTAACCTTGAGTCTGGTAAAGGTTGCCTGATGCCTATTTTAGTCTGTAATTTTTTAGATTTCAGTGAGAATAATTTAGTCTCTTAGAGAAAAAGAAATTAACAAAACAGGGGGATGGGCAATCATATTTGATCACATTACAGTACCTTGTATTATCATGTGGAATTTCCATATCACGGATCAGGAAGGTGAAATCTATTGGGGAGAGAGGACCATGCAGGACAAAGACTAAGATTTCTCTAGTGGAAGTCGAGGTTAGAGCTTTTCTCATATTAGTGGAAAACTGCCACACTGGACTGCCTTCTGGTCTGAAAAATCCTTATCCATGTATGTTTCTTCAGATTTTGCAGTTCAGCTGTGCTAGGATTTGGTCAGTAGGGAGCATGCTTCAGATGAGGGAGATACAAAGGTTGTGGCTATGGCCTAAATTATTGCCTTGGGTATTGGAATTATTAAGAAAGGACAGGGCTGGGATATGGTCCCCATGGAGGGGAAGCTAGGAAAGGGACAAAGAGATTATTAATATGTGGAGATAACATGGTGAGGCAAAGAGAAAAGGCACAGAAGGGTGCTGAGGAGGAGAGGATGGGATGTTAAGAAAGGATGAAACCAATACACAGGAGAAAGAGGTGGGCAGGATTCTGGCAGTAGGGACCAGACTAGCAATAAGGCAAGGTCAGGTTGTCAGCTCAAGGGTTAAAGTCTGGGCTCAGAACAGAAAAGGCTCCAGTTCTCTGGAGGATTGTTTTTTAAAATTTTTTTTAAATTTATGATTTTCTCTTTGTGTTTTTAAACTGTGTAAGTTACACCTAAAAGCCCTTTTAAGGGTACAAAGCAAAGCTCTCTGAAATATGGAGAGATTTCAGTCAACACTGCTCAGATGAATCAATATTTTATTTTATCATAGTAGTTCATTATGTCACCTCTTCTTCCTGTAACTGTACATCATTCAAAGCCAGCTTTGAAGCCAGAGTTATTAATTTCCTGGGGAGCACTTCTGTGGCTCTCATTATTGCAGCATCCGAGCACTTTAAAAACATTAATGAATTTATCTGTACAATGTGCCGATAAGGTGAAATGACATTATGCGCCAAGGAAAATTATGCACAGAATCATAATGTCAACAAAGGACATTTAATTTAGATGCCCAACTTGAGATGTTCATGCCCTGACTTTCAAGAAACAGCAGTGGATCGTCCTCTCTTTGTTTTGGAGTTGGCTTCTGCTGAGTCCATCACCGTTGGAATTGCTCCACGCTTCCACAGTTCAGAGCGCAGGTGTTCCGTGCTCTGCTCTAAGCAAACAAAGAAGATGCAATTAATGACTGCCTGCATGAAGTTTGGATTTTGTGACTCCCTTGGCATTAGGCACTGAGGCAGAGACAGAATCCAGTTCCCCAGGCCAGCTTTCCACTGCCCTAGGCACAACCATGGTGGTTTTCCAAGCCCTTACCTCAGTCTTGTTGTACTGTCCAGTGCCATCCATGCTGAGGCAGAGATGCAGCAAACAGCAAGTTCCTTCTTGTGACCTTGACTTGCTGAATATGTGCAGTCAGCCCTTGCTCTTTGACCGAGTGAGGCTGGATATTGGACTAAAAATCAAGGTATGTGAGTGTATTATTTGCTTTGTCACAGTGTGTTCAAACCATAACCAGTGCAGATTTCTTGCACTGCCAGGATAGATGCACCAAAAGAGCTCTCATTCCTTCATATTGATTCATGTCTTCTGTAACTGTTGTGACAATCTTAGCACACAGGGGCAGGGGCTCCTGAAGCAGAGAGAAGCTGCAATTTGATTTGAAAATGATCCTTCATTGTGCCCCTGGGTGGCCTCAAATTGTGTGAGCTGATTTGGGGATAAGGTGGAAACCATGTCACACAATACACCTATGGCTGGACATCTCCTGTTTTTGTCCTTGCAAGGTTGAACTAATGGCTCAGAAGTGCATTGCACCCAAAAGACACAGCATGTTCTCCCCAACTTTTTACAGCCTGTAGAAGCAAAGCCATGGTGCAATCAAGCAGGACCTGGAAGAGATCGTCTCTGTTTCACTGAAAAATTTTTCTTTAGTAGGAAAAGAGAAGGATAGAAAGGGAGAGAGAAAGTTTTTCAGATGCACAAATAGAAGATAGTCTCTATTAGCTTTCACAATGAGAAGGGTGTCTCACTGAAGTCTGTACCTGCAAAAATCCTGCTGTAACAATCTGATCTTCCCCACATCCTCTCCTGTGCTGTTCAAGACCACTCTTCCCCATTTTCCTTCATCAGTTCATTTTCTTATTGAATCCCATTGTGGTGGGACAGAGTCACTGGAATTACTCTGGATTTGCAGTCAGCAGCTCAGAACATGGCTTAGCCCATCTCAGTTGCAGTGTAGCAGAAAGTATCTGGCACACCTGAAATGGTCCTCACATTTTAGCTCTAGTCAGCTATTTAGGCACATGTTTATTTATTAAATCCATCTATCAGTCCTTCACCTAAGTAGTCCTATTCTTTCCCTGTCTAGGCTCTTCCTTACACCTGTCAGGAAAAAAAAGAACAACCTTCTTCAAATTGTGGCATTTGCTTGCACTGCTTTATGAATCTTGAGCCAGGTGCTGAATCTATACTGAAATTTCCTCTCAGGGTCAGTGGGCCTCACCTGAGGGAGAACTTCACCTAAGGAACAACTTCACAGTGCCAGGCAGTAAACAGAGTTTTCACTAACCTATTAGAATAAGCTGTGCATCTGAGCATAATCTTAGTTGACAGGATAATGTGGTTTTAGATGCTGGTGTTTTGAGATTTCCCTTTTTTTTCCATATGCTTTTCCTTCTGGCTTACTTGCACCTCTGTGCATGCCAGTGAACCTTTTGAAGGAGGGAAGATGAGCTGTTTAGCCAGTAGCAGTCTTGCTGCCTGCACAAACTGAAAAGGAAGAATATAAGACACACAGTGATCTGCATGTTAAATCCTCTCTAAAGCTTCAGACCTGTCATGTAGACCTAAATCTCTGTCAGTGCCAGGTTAGCATCTTGCCCAATCATCTTACCCTACCTCTCCTTCTTTTGCCTTCAGTCCCCCTCTCCAAAGCCCTAAGTTGTAGACATCACGTTGACACAGACTAGGGCATTATTATTATTATTCAGAGTTGCATAAAAAGTGAATTTACATTGAGTAAAACCAATAAGCCATGCTGCTCTGACATTTAATTTTCTTGGAAATTCTTCCTATTGAATCAGACAGCACTACATGCATTTTCAAATGAAATTCAGTGTTTGCACTACAGTAACCTTGTAGGCAGAAGAATGAATAATTTGGAAATTACCAAGAGCCTATTTCCTGCCACCTTCCTTCAGAGCTAAATTTTTATGTGACTATATTTCTATGTGATGCCGTGTGATTTTTTAAAATTTTTATTTCCACCCACTGTTTCAAAATGGTGTGCAAAATAGTCTTCTATAAAAAAGGGATTGCTATTAATGTGTGGATCACTGGTTGGTAGTCTCCTATTTTTTCTGTGGCCATTTCTTCCTCTGACATCAAACTCTGGGAAAGCTGAGGATAAAAAAATGGTGTCCCTTGAACTAGACACGGTTATGATAAACTCTGAGATGAAATGTCAAGCCTAAGCAGGTGTACTGTTCTACTTTCCAGTGTGTGTTGATCAGCCCGCCAAAGCAGTGCAGTCATATTTCAGAGCTCACTTTATCTCCCTTCTCTCCTTACCATATTGAATGTCTGATTATAAAGGAGGTAGTAAATAGCTCTGTTAAAAAGAGGTTTAACCAGAGACATAGGTCAAGACATTGTCTTACTTTCTGTGTCAAATGATTATGCATTTATGCATCCATCCATCCAGATCTGCCAGAAATGTTCCTATTCTTAGAGCTGAAGTTGTTATAATTTCATAGAGGAAGCTGGTTCAGACAGACTTTGTCTTTGAAGTGGTAGACTTCATTTCAACATGAATGTGTGCTCTAAAATAGCTGAGCAAAGGAAAGCAGCAAACACTTAGTTGGGATTGCCCCTGAACTAACATCCTGTCATGGGGGCAAGAGGATCTGGCAGAGCACACAAGAAGGTCTTAGAAATGCCCAAACTTTCACATCTGTTTACCATACTGATATTTTTACTAAAAATATTTATATAAACCATGTTGGATTTTCTTGGGATTTATGGTCTGTTAAAAAAGCTAGCGATATAGGCTAGTATTAAATACATTAATGCACCATTGAGACTGAATGGTTAAGAACTGAAAAGCTGGTAATGCTTTCCTACCATGCTTTTTTCAATTATAATAAAATGTTTCTTTCAATCTTAGATACTTGTGTATGTCTATTATAACCTGTCATTGTGAAATTAGATCCTTATGCTGTACTCACACATTATGATTAGGGCTGGTTCAAAACATTCAATCCAAAACTGACATGGAAATAATCTTGAACATGTATTTTGATAGGAAACTTATTATGATTTTCTTTTCACTGAAAAGAAAAAGGAGATATGTTGTACAGTTTTATTAATTTTTTTTTCCTTTCTTCTTTTTTCTTTTTTTTGTTACCTTTTGTCACTGAGATGCATGCTAGTATAAACAGAGAAGGAAAGACAAACAGAAAACATGGCTATCATCTATACATATATCCACAAACAGATATATATATGCAATTCAAAATTACAATAATGAATGCATTGCATTTATTTAGTTTTTTTGATAACTGAAATGGTTATGTTTTCCTTAACTGTGGTATCTTGTTTGGTACAATAGGATGGGCCACAACCAAAATATACAGGCAGGGTACTCTGACCTGACTCAAAGTTCTTGTGTTTCACCCATCTTCAGTTCTCAGAAAGGCTGGGTCTGTGGGCTGGCCTCAGCAACTGATGGAGCCAGAAGAGCTCTACACTGCCATCCTTCACTGGTGATTCTTTCTCTGTGCTTTGTAGATGTAAACCAGCCTGGGGAGCTGAGAGGCAAGGCAGAGTGAACGGGTCTTGGATTCAGGTCTGCTGTGCTTATCTTCCAGCAGGTCAGTTGAAGTTCCCCTAGAGATGCTCCAAAACTTAATTAGCCTATCTTGATCTTTTTCTCCTTTCATATCCCTCAATCTCGTTAATCTTTACAGTCTCTTGAGGAAAGTTAGTACAAGAAACCTTTTTTACAGATGAAGTTTTCAAAGCCAAAACCCAGTATTGTGAGATTTTTGTCAAAACAATTAGAGGCACTTTCATCTCCTAGCTTGTGTCTTTAGTTCACAGTAAATCAGATAGTGCTGATGCACAATACTGGGCCTCCTTTGTGGTGGTGTCTTAAGGATTATTTGTTTAGCTGGGTAATTGTGACGTTCACTAAAGGGAAGATGATCTTGCAGTTAAAATGTTATATTGAGATGTTTCCATCTCTGCGATAGATTTCCTTTAAAGCCTCCTGGGGCCTGTGTATCAGTGTTTTCAGGATTCTAATACAGATATGTTTGACAGCACAGGACTTGCTTCCATTTTGGAGCATCTTTATTAAACTGATATTTTGGCCTGAATTTCAGAGGCATGGAGCGTGCATACTCCTCTTTGTGTACAGATGATGATTTCCATTCTTGAAAATTTGACCCAGTAAATCGACCTTAGGAATACAGTACCATATTATAAAAGAGGGAAAATTATACCTTCTGTTTTGCATGCTTTTTTTAATCTACTTGAAATACTTGCATTTAATCAAGGTGAATAATGTGAAAAGCCTGATTTCAGCTGGTTCACAAAGGTAAACCCTTTTTCAACTCTCCTGTGTTTATTACAATGCAGGCAAAGCTATTTGCTTGCCTGTCCTTTACATTAAGTCTTTTTTTATTGTATACCCTACACAATGGGAACAAGAGAATAGTTTAACACAGCTGCAGTGAAGTTAACCCCATAAGCCTTGAAATCCCTGTATCTGGAGAAAGCTCTGGGTGAGATTCCTTTTACAGATGTTGGCATCCTCATTTTCAGTGTTAGGGGCTGAAATCAATTGCTTGACCTTCAGCCCTTTGAAATTCAGTGGAGAAAAACAGCCCCACAAAAGGAATGGGCCTTTTCCTCCCAAGAGAGGCATTTTAAACAGGACACAGGCTTCAGAGGAGCCAATCCAGCTGCTCATTGCAGAGGGAGTTTCAGTGTGTAAATCAAATGTCACATCCACAGTGTGGACACCCTGAGGCCCATGAGATGCCATAGGAGATCCACCAGGGAAAACTCAGCATCACAAGAGTGCTGTGGAAGTAGAGCTTGTTTCTACATCCATTCTCTGCTGTGAGTGACAAGGATAAAGATGCTGTATTTTCTTTATTTTTCCAGAAGTATTAGTATAGAGACATCTTTACTAATATAGTCCTGTGTGCCAGAAAAGTCTTTTAGCAGGAGAGCTTCCAGTGGTTATAAAGTTCTTCTATGAAAGAGCAGGCAACTTATACTGCTGAATGCTTCCTTGGTGTAGTGCAGCCTGTGAAATTTTCATCATGAGCTTGAAATTAATATTAAAGGATTTTCTTTAGTTTGGCTGTCATAAGACCCACAATGAAAATTTTGAAAAATTACACAACTTAGTCTTAAATTTGTCATATTTCATTTAAAAAAAAAAGGCTTTTCAAGAAGACAGTGAAAAATGCTTTTCACTATGGACTTTTTCTGTACAACTTTCTTGACTCAGTTGTTCCACTTTCTTTTTTCATGTTGCATTGTGAAGGATTATTCTCAGGAAAACTCTGAGAAGTTGGACTTTTTTCCTTCAGTTACCCAAAACAGCATGTTTCAAGGTGTATTTCAATTTCATATTTATTTCAACGAAATAAAATGTCATTATCCAAGTTTCAAATGCCCATATATTCTCATGTATTGAGGGGATTGCTTACTGTGAAAGAGAATATTGCTAGGTGTCCACAGGACTTCACAAAAATATTTCACTATTTCATCATTGGATATTTTATATTCAGCCATATACAAGTTTTAAAATAAGCGCAGAAGTCTTCCCCTGCCCATCCCTAATGGGTATTAATGACCAAATTCTAATTATCCCTACAGCTCCTTAGTCAGTTTGATCTTTATGAAGATGTTAGCTTCTCAGGGCTCCACAGACATGAATGATGTAAAGGAAAGGCTGCTTCTTTTCGTATACTAAAACTGGACAGACAGACACACACAGTCATGTCTTTGCACCATTGAGAACAAGAAGCAACCAGAACAGCTGTGCAGACTTTTCTCCCCCTGGAGCTGCCATAAGAAGTATTTGCTAATGGTAGGTGATTAGGAACAAAGAAATAGTCCCTTGCACCACTGATGTAGTGTGAAGAACATTTAGCAGCCAAGGGCTTTAGATTTTTTTTCTGTTCTCCATCTCTGGGATTTCTCAGTTGTAATCAGCCAAGAGTGATCCTGGCCATCACAGCTTTTCCAGAATGGTCATGTCTCTTGTGAAATGGCATTTCATTTCCACTCTGGTATTTTTCCTCTCAGTTTTCCCTACCCTTTGAATGATTGCCTTTTGCAATCAGTGATTGTTCATGAGATGACCATAGATGCCAAGGCATTAAATAGCCAAAGGCAACAGCTGTTCTACCCAGCCTTTGCTGACTAAGTCCTTCCCCTGCCCATGGTCACTTGGACGTGAGGTTCTTCACGCCCATCTATTTTTATGATAGTGAACCCCCAGAGTTCCTTTCTTCCCTCTCCCTTTCATCAGCATGCCCCAGGCCTGACATGGGAATAAAGGAAGATGGTGAAGGGTGAGCTGGCTGGCCGTGACCTCCACTTGCCACAGGAATGACAGTAGTCTTTAAGTGATCATCTTGCCTAGAGTTGTTCATAGAAACACTGTCACAGCTGGGAGGAGGGCTGAACACAGGAATTGGAACTGTTATGTTAGAGAGATGAGGGATGGGGACTTCAGTAGTTAATGATGAAGTAAGGAAGCTGAGGAAGAGGGAACAATTGCTGTAACGGTTTCCCTTGTATATCGACACTGCTTTCTCTGTGTGTTTTCCTTGAGTGGTGTTTGTCGTTGTGCTAATGGGGAGTATGGATCCAAACACCAGTACAAGGAAAACCACAGCCAGCCTCAGGTGCAGTGGGGATTGTAGATGCTGTGCACCTGAATTCAGAAGGGAGAGGCTTTGGGAAGGTAATTTGTTTTTGGTTTTGTTCTGGATGCTCTGAGGTTCTCTGCTGCCGAGTTCGTGTCCCATAGAATGCAAGAAAAGTATGGTAGTAGCTCTAGTTCAGATGCCTCCTAACTATTCCTTATGCACACATGACAGGCCTACACTCCACCACCAAGACTGGTTTTGATCAGCTGTGGTATCCTGAGGGTCGACCTACTCTTTGGAGACCTTAGGAAAGCAAAGAGTGTACACTTCTCTGGGTAACAGTGGAAGTAGATGTGAATTGCTCATTCTTAAATCTGCAAAGAGGAATCTACTTCAAAAAGTGCTGAAAGGTCTAAGTATAAAATGGACATAAATATAAAAATTCTCCACTCAGAATGGTGTGAAGATAGATGATAACAGTAGTTTGCACATTCCAAGCAGTGGAAATAAATCACAGCAAACAATGTGGCACATGTTGAACAAGAACAGAGAATTCCTGCTTGGAGGAATCTTATTGCTGCAAGTTAATCATCTTTTTATTAGCATGCCCTGAAGCTTTTTTGGATATAAATTTTGCAAAATAACATCTGGATTGTGGGAGCAGGCCATAAAATTAAGAAACAGACACAAAGAAAACACAGAGTTGTGCTTGAGCTGTGTGTAGTCAAGAAGGGGACACCTGTTCCTTTTATGAGGCACACCAAAACACCCACTGTGATTAACCAGTGGGATGCAGTGGAGGAAGACCATGGTAGTGGACTTTACACTGGGGGAGTAACTCCTGGGGATAATCTCAGCATTCTTGAGTTGTAATTGAGCAGCCTCTGCTGTTGATGTCTTATGAGAAATTCGTTGAACATCCTGGGGCAATATTATACTGAAAGGATCAAGGCTGGGTTTTCTTGAGAGGGGAGTCAAAAAAGATTGGAGATGGAAGTACTTCTGAGTCTGTCTACTTTTTCTCTTTCATTTTCTGGAGAAATACTATTGTTGAAAACTGTCTGTGATGTACCATTTTCTCCTTTCCAGAATGATCTGTAGCAGAGAGAAGGCAGTCAGAAGTAACATAATGAGGTTTATGTGCTTCATGGATGGGAGTGGCATGTCTTTTGCTTGTCTCTTCTTTTATCACCATTTTTCAGCTTCTCTATTTTAGTCTCCTGGTTTCCATTTGACAGACAATAAAAAAGAGTTCTCCACTGACTGTTAGCTTTTCCTCAATGTGCATCTTCTGTTCTTTCTCCTTTATTTCTTCTTTAATTTAAGGCCTGGTTGGCATTTTTTCCCCATCAGACATAAGGAATGTCTGGGAGCTGTCTGCTCTTTTGGACTCTTTTGTCTTCAATCCATCATTATGTCTTCATTGTCCTCTTTAATTTAACTGAGATGTTGAGGGGATCACTTACTGTGAAAGACAATATTGCTAGCTGTCCACAGGGATTTCACACATCTATTCATCATTTTGGTAAGATAAACTGTATGTGAAATATTGTGTACTAAAAAATGCAAAATATGTAAGTCCATTTCAAACACCAAGTGCTTAACCAGTATTTTTAAACTCAAATAGGTTAGGTGGTTAGGTATATGACACCTTTTCTGGATACAAATTTTGTCAAATTTAACTATGGAAGATGAATATTTCAAAGTTGACATTGATTTGATTACAAACTTATACTAACTTTATTGCTTTCTTTCAAAGTATGTCAGTAGGTACACCAATATGAATGCAATGAAGGTTCATAATTAAACCTTTATTTCCTGGTTTTCAGAGGGGGTTCAGAGGATTTGGGAATATACCCTTTCACTTGGAGACCAAAATCTAGGAAATTAACTTTACAATCCTTAAAAAAAAATCTCAAGGATCAGGTATAGCTGTATCAGATAATTCCTCAAGTACTCACAATGGCTTCTGAAACATTAAAACTCAGTATGTTGGAGAAGTCAACTCCCAAAAAACCTCAGGGAGGTGTTGAAGAAATGAGTGAAGAGTATAAAATGGATACAAAACTCAGAGACTCACATTAGATTCTGGATTACTGAAGTTTAGCACACATTTTCCAGCTAAATTTTTTTACAAGATCCCTTCTATTTCTGCTCATTCTTCATAATTTTTTTCTATTAAGTGACAGTTTGTGTATTTAAAACAGGTGGTGGTACTCTGGTTTTAAATTAAACTGTCCAAAGTCAGGAACTGGCTGTGTGTCTGCATTTTCCATCTGCAGTGCACAGCTTTGCTAATGTATTAGTGCCTAAAATTACATTCTCAAATACCTAAGAGAACATGGGTTGGTGAACTAGAGCACTCTCATCTACCAGCAAATCTGTAACCTTCCTTGATTGTGATAAATAAATGTACCTACAGGGCCCTGAGAAGAGTATTGTGATGGCTGGACATGGCTTAATACTCAGAAAGGAGATTTCCTCTGCAGCTATTGAAATGTCTGACCATGAGATTTTGCTTTGTATTCTTAGAGGTACAGAAGAATTTCCATGATTGGAAGGAATTATTGTAGAAACTGTGGCAGCTTCAGAAGTCCTTATATATGATAGGTACATATTTGCAGTATCATAATAATAGCAACAGTAATTCAGCTCTTCATTGCCCTCTCTCAGAAAAGTCAAGATAGTAAATGGTTGTGTGGCAGAAATGGCAGATGAAATTCCATGGTGATAATTGCAAATTCACATCCACAGGCAAAAATTAGTCCAAGCTCTAAATGCCTGAGGAAAGGCTTCAGAGGAGTTGTTGTTACTTAGCAGGCAGGTCTGTAAAACAGTGGAATAGAGCTCAGGAGCTGTGATGAAGACAAAGAGAATCATAGGCACAAATGGGAAGAGACTAGAGAAGAAACAGGAGATATCACTGTGCAGTATGAAACTCCAGTACACACCCAAATTTTGGTGGCTGCATACAATTTTTTTCCCTTCTCCTCAGATCTGAACTGGAATGGATAAGTATAGCTTAAGGCATGACAATTATCAGACATTAAGTATATCTTCTTTATGAAAAAAAAGCCCAAGAATTCCTCAGCTTGAAAAAGAGATTCTAAATGATCTAATGAAAGACTAAACGTGTATGATGTGGAGGAAATAAGTGAGGAATAATTATTCTCAAGTTAAAAAAATATGGCACCTCAGGTAATTTATTCCACTCAGCTTGCTTGCTGGAGATAGAGCAATCGATGCCAGGGTGTAGATTACCTTGCACTGAGGCTGTTTCGCAAATAATTTCCTGCTGTCCTGCTGGCAGCTCGTGTTTAAGTCAGGGTAATGGGCTTGCTGGAGCTTTCACCTGGGTGGGTGCAGCAGTGGTTCCTCTGTTCTCAAGTCAGGTCTTGATTCAGGGACTTGATGGGCTGGTTCATCTGCCTCAACTTTGTGCAGCTTTGGTGGTCATTGCAAGCAGTCTCTGCCTCTGGAAAACCATCACTGGTGTTCCTGGGATTCCAAAACTATACAAATAAATCTTATTAGATGTCTCTTGCCTTGCAATAAAACAAATCCTTGTTTTGCACATATTTCCTGTACACAAGAAATAAGGTATTAAAAACTGTGGAGGAAAAAATGTTTAAAAAATGCTTTAAAAATGTTTACGTTAGTTGTACTAGATGATCATTGTGGGTCCTTTCTGACTGAAATGTTTTTTTCTTTTAAGCCCAAGTCAGGACTTTGAAGAAATTGAGACATTCATGGCAACATTTAGTTTATGTATGTTCACTGAGTTCTCCATGTATTATTTTATGGCCATGTGGTCAAAAGGATAAATCTTCTAACTGAGACCAACAGAAGAACATAATAAAGTTTTCTATTGATAACCTTTTTTTTTTGCCCATATGCACACTAGTTCGTATTTCTTAGCACAGGGTAAATTCCTGGTCTAAATAAATATATACACAAAAGCATGCAATTTATTTCAGCCACAATACCAGAATTTATGAGCAAATGTCTTTCTTTATTATTGATAGTATTAATACGGAGATGGGAGAGAAATACAAAAAAAAAATGGTTCACAGCCAAGAACTGCATCACATCAGTATTGCCAAGTGTAGTTAAAATTATACAAAGTTAATAATGTGAATTTAGGGCTGCAATTTCAGATTCTCCTTTTTTTTCATTGTTTTTTATGACTTCACGTGGGTCAGTGCTTGTAAATCCTGTTTTGATACAAACTTAATTCATTTGTACTTTGTAGGAGTACTTGTGTGTATGGTTTCTACATTGTCAGTGGCTTATCTGGTTCTTGTCTTTTCCTGCATATATTTTTATTAATATCTTAGTGGCTGCTAAACACAGGCCTATTGTATATGCCTCTTTGAAGAGTGCTGTAACACATTATATTATGTTTGTTTATACATGAAGACAGAGGTTTTTTACTACATCTGTTTCATCATTTGGTAAGCCATAGGGAAAAAGGGGTAAATAAGTCCCTCAGCAAGTTTCCATGATAAAACATGCATCTGACACTAATTCTGATTAAAAATGATAGGCTAATTCACAGGTGATTGCTTCCATTTAAGAGAAAATGCCTTGCAGATACTGACATTTCTGCAAGTTACAGAGATGGTTTTAAGGTCCAGTGTTAAATGGAAAATGTGGAGGAATCCAAACACATGGCATTTGTCTTCATAAATTTCTGTGTGGAATAACTTAACAAAACTCAAGCATCTTTTGTTATGGGCAAGAAAAGTCATGATCCTTGTTCATTTTCCACATAAAAGTCAAATATAGCTCTGTTTTCACAAGCTCTGCAGCATTTATACAGTTCAAAGGTGTTATTCATTGGTTTGATTTGTTTATCTTATGTCTTCAAGACTGCATTTTAAATAAGCCCTGAAAGATTTATATGCATGTTAAAATGACTCAGAAATATCCCTAGGAGTTCAGAAGATGAAGATGTGTTGAACTGGAAGCTAGAGGATACTACATGCTTTTTAATATTGACCAGGGGGCGTTTAAGTAGGTGATCTCGGGGTCCTCCTTTTCACAGTTAGTTCTGAATGTTTAGCAAATTATTTTTTCTGGAAAAAAGAGCTTGAATATTGTGTTGTCTTTGGGTACTTGGTGAGACATTACTCACAGCAGTGCTTTGGGACCACATTTGCTTTTCACTTCTGATTTATGCATTTATTTTCCACACAATGTGAATAATTAATATCAGCATGATTGGGATTTATTTTTTCATAGTATCTTTTAAAGCAAGGGTGGAAAAATATCCATGTCAAGTATTTGAAAATACCATCTGAGGATTCATAAAATATTATTAGATGCTCCCCAAGTGGGCAAAGGCAGGGAGGTAAGGTGGTCACATGTTTTTGCCACATCACATATTCAGTCAGCAGGCACAAGAATTATGAGATCCCCTTCTGCACCAAGACAGTTCAATTTAGAATAAACAGAAAATGTCTAGAGACATAGAGAAGGTTCTCCAGCCCAGGTATATCAGGAAGGAATATGACCTGCAACAGCTGACTAAAATAGAGCTAAAAATGCCAGGACAAAGCTGCCCTCTGTGCAGAGATTTCAGCAGAGTTTGGGGTCTCCTCTGCTTTGGCACCACTGAAATTTTCATTGGGAAAGGAGGGGGTGGGCTTTCCCTGTGTAGTACTTCTTGAGGGATGTGAAAAGGGGAGGCTCAGGGAGAAAACTACAGCCCCATGTGCCCAGCACAGCTGCCTGGGGGTGTCTGCATCTTGTGTTTGCTTCTGCACCGAGGACCCTTGCTCCAAACTAAAAAGACTCTGATGAAATTAATTTTATCAAGACATAAGCATGACATGAAAGTAATTTTCAGTGTGTTCATTTCACATACTCTTGAGAAATTTTTCCCTGTTTGGCCATGACTCTATACTTCCCTGCCAAGCTGTTGGAGAGAGAGCATGGCCAAAGCAAGCAAAGGGCAGTCAGACAATTTCCCAAAGCTTATCAGTACAATTTTCCTATGAAACTTCATCTGACTTTGAAATGAACAGGTATAACAAGGCAGTCTATATTTTTCAAACATAATTTTCTCCTTCTCTTGACTTTTTTTGGCAGAATCATGAATAAACTGGCAGACCAGCAGGACCACATGATACCATGAAGAGAAGCTTACAGGTCCTCTATTGCCAACTGTTTAGTAAGTAAATATGAGTTTTTATTCTGTAAGAAAGAAACTATTCAAATCCTTATGTAAGACAGTAATATTTATGCAGGGCACAATTCAGGGAAGTATTCAACCATGTGTCTTGCTTCAGGTACCTGGAGGAACCATATGAAAGTAAAATTATCCTGTTGTCTGAGATATTTAGAGATTTATTAAAAAATGAGTTGAAGGATCAGCTGATTCTGCAGAGTTTTGTACAAGAATAGAATTGATTTGCTGTGTCTTGCAAGTGAGGCAACTATCACCCTCAGAAAAATGAAATGGAGATACAGAGGGTTGTGGCTGGAAGAAATAATGCAACATTTTTTGGAAGAGGGATCCATCCCACTTGGCATTTCTGGTGGTTGCCACTCAATGAAAGATCTGTGAGTGAGGAAAAGTCTGGGCTCACACAGACCTAAATTCTGTGTCACTTCCTGAGATGACAAGTTTCTTTCTTTTTCTAAGTTTTGGCTTTCAAAAGAGTCCATCCAATGTGAAAGTCCAGCAAAAGCATCAGGTGGAATTTAGACTGTGGACAGGGGCTGGCCCCCCATTCATGGAAGTAAGGGGAGGTTTTATTTGTAAAACAGCACTGACATTGTTGGGGCAATTTTATAAACTGACAATTTTCAGTGCAAGCATCAAGCAACAATTTTTCTTCAAAATTGTAGAGATTAAATCAAGTAGGATTAGACAAAATGTAAATATAACCATTTGCTGTCATGTTTTACAAAGGAAATTGCTAATTTCCAGTAAAAATAAAAAAAAAACAAACAGGTTTTTTAATGTTGTCACTTCAATTTGGCAGAATGTTTCACTTCAATGTACATATTTTCATAGACAATTTTGTATGAATTTCCCTTATTCTGGCAAAAGCAAGAGAAAAACCAGAAAATCATACTTAGTGTGCTTTGAATGAGCAATGGAAGGGGCTGTCATTTTATTGGATGTGTGAAAATTAAATCTAGGAAATATTTTGTGGGCTGTTACAGAAATCTGGTTGCTATCGTATCTTTGCTTTACTCATGATCATCAGTGTATAGAGTGAGAGATTTCGTTTTGCTTTGCTGTATTGGTTGATGCTCTTACTCCTATGCACAGCTTCTCCTGTGGCAGAGGGGAAACAGAGGTATGTCCTCATGACATTAGAGGGGAGGCTTCAGAGGTGCACCCAAGGTTATTTTACTTGAGAATAAATCTGGGCCAGATGTGCCTACATGACCTGCCCAGCAGCATGATTTTGGCCCCCTCAGATTTGCTGCCTGGCTGGAGTGCAATGTAGGAAGAGCTCCTCAAGGAGAATTTTAACCAGGAACCTACTGAGAGTAGTGGGGGCTCTGGTATTTTTACCACAGCTAAGGACCCAGAATACATCACTGCATTTTGCCATGTTTAAATGTGATTTAACTCTAAAACTAACTTGGTTTCTGGACCAACATTAGGTTCATTGGAAAGAAAATATGAAGCAGAACTGTATAAATACATTTCTGTCAACATGTAGGGAAAAGAAGGAAGGTATACGGTTAATCCAAGCTATCACAGTATTGAGTCTTTCTGTAACTATTTTTATTTTTTTTTAATATCATACTTCCCTGCTTGGCAACACTCCCCTTTGTTATCCCTGCTGCTTTAAACTGTATTTTTCAGGGTCATATGTTGACAAGATATGTGGGAAGTAGAGGAACACTGAATATAAAAAGGGGAAAACTGAGAAAACTGTATATATGTATATGCACACACATACATATGTAGTATGACTATGCAGCAATATTGTCAACTCTCTGATGTAATTTGAAAATAGGAATTCTGATCTTACTACTTCTGATGACAGGAGAAAAATCTGCTTTACTTCTCTGAGTTCAGCAAAAACTTGTAATAAATGTAGTTTCCATTAACAAATGCAGCAGCAGCTATAGCTATATCAGAAGTATTTTGGGCATCTGGAATGAATGTTTTCACTGGTTGGTTTATAAAAAGCCAATAGCAAGTTACTTAATTTCTATTATCCCAGCTTGCTTTTAGATGCACTGAGGTGTGTTACCTAAGCTCACTTTTTCCCCAGTTACATCACAGTGCTATAAACAACCTCCAAGAGAGTGCATTCTGTCCAAGGAAGAGGAAATTACTTTAATGTGTTTCCTGTGACTGTTCTTTATGGTATAAGAAGGGCCTGCAGCATGGTCTTATTTGTTTCATTTGGACAAAGGAGGAAAATTGCTGCTACTGTACAGCTGAAGAAAAAGCAAACTTTCAGAGAAATTATCCAAAGAGGATATTCTGCTTTGGGCTGATTCACTAATGTCTTCCACCTGCCTGCCTTCCTCTTCTACAGCTGCAACAAGTGGGTCTGTGGTGCTGCCTCGATAACTTGGCAATGTTTTAATTGTCTGCTGTGGCATGAGTGAGTGATTGAGGTTCAGGTTATAGACAGAGGGCATCTATGTATGCATTCTTACAAATAGGAGCATAGGGCATGCATAAACACAGAAAACCTAGGATAGCTGGAACAAAGTGTTGGTGGGTTTTGTAGAAACAGTGATCAGCTGGAGAGATGAGACTCTGTGTGTGCTTGTGGATGTGCCTGTGGCAAAGAAATGTTGGAAGAAGCAGTTTCACCTCCAAACTGGTGTGTTGTTATGAATCTTGCCACATTTTGCTTGAGTCTCAGCTGTGCTACTGGGCCAGTAGTGGCTACACTCATGTGTGAATTCTTTTCCACCTCTGTTCATTTGTGCTGTGTTCAGCTGTGTTTGTGCAGTGTCTGAGACAGTAGGACTCTGTACTCTAGAGGGCTTCTTGGCTTTGGGGCTGGAAGAAAAGGGTTTTGTAGATATTGGTTTGATTTTCAAACAGTGGGATTTGTTAGCTGCATTTTTAAAATCAGACCCATATAAAAATAAGATTTTGATTGTAACATGTCTGGGCTTTTTGGTGAATTTCACGAGTTATGTAAGCATTCTATTGCCATCCACACTCTTTTGCTTTCCAAAAAGAGCACATTCCATCCATTCATGCTGATCAAGAATAGCATGTGAAAATGGCACTAGCAACAGCTGCTCTTTTGAATAGAGTTGTAGCTGGCTTGAATCTGATCCCAGCTGTCAAGGGGTAGAGTCTGTGAAAATTGTAGCACTGCACTTGGCCCAGGACAGGGGCTCCGGGCGATGCTACTTTACCTCTAGTCATTCATAATTTATGAATAAGTAATTAAACATGTGATGTAAGGCTATGAAGAAGTAGTGCTTTCATACTGTATCTTCAAAGATTCTATTTAATCTGAAATTTCTTAAGACATTAAAAAAAAAAACACCAAAAAAGATTGAAACAAAAAATTTGGAAGTGGTTTCTTAGTAAGAGCTCTTTGAAGTCACTAGCTAGATTGAGTTGATGAGGACCAATTAAAGCAAAACATGTGTCCACAATTTGCTGCCATTTGTTCTAGGCACATCTTTATGGATGAAGTTTGTTGCCTCTGTAATGATGAAGATGCAAATGTCTTTCCCATGAGGCTGAGCAATCTCTATTATTTAAAAAGACCTAATGTGATGATTTAAGCCCTACAGCATGAGACACAATATGTCTGCATTTTTGGTAGTAAAACATGCACATCATAATTTGCCGTTCATGCGCTGTTTACTCAGGGCTTCTAAGTTGCATATAAGCTAGAGAAAAATGTGGAGACAGGTAACTGGTGGAGCTTTTGGTGCACAACCTCTATATGCGACTTGCTTCCTCAGGCATTTATTTTCCTGAAAAAATGCAAGGACTTTTATTTCTTGTTTACTTACAGCACTAGGGTCTGTGTGAGGACCTGTCACACCACAGCATCTGAAATAAACGGCCATCTGAGTGCTTCTTCATGTCATTATCACTTAGTGTGTTCCCAAGTATCGCTCTTTCATCTCAGAAGCCTGGCACGATGCCCAGTAATATCAATAGAAAGAGTTTCCTATTTGCAAGTACCACTCTCCGTAGTAAAATGAGCAAAAATGGCTGTGGGTGGCTGTGCCTTGCACACAGGCTGTCACAAGTCTTGTATCCCCTTGCTGTGGATGCAGCTTGCCTTCCCCAGTGTTAACTGGCAGCCTGGCTGCCTCTCGTCAAGTCTTTGCAGTGAAGTTCACCCTGTAGAAAGGGTTAGCGCAGGCCTGCACTCCATTCCAGTCTGAAGCAAATCCATCTTGCTTATCCCTCTTCTCATAAATATTTGATAAGCAATGTGAGTTTGTAAAATTCCTGTATCAGAGAAGATCCAGTCCTAAGTGCCTTCTGAAAGGTGTTGAGCAGCCTCCTAATGCCTCTTGCCTCTGGTAGGAACCCACACCCACCAGCTTTTCTTTCTATTGCCGAGTGCTGTCTGTGAATAATTACGTGTTATTAATAAGATGGTATGCACTGATGGCTCATTTATACAATTACACATGGCTCATTTAGTGCAAGTGAAGAGGCATGGTAACAGTACAGGAAAGACTGCTGCCAGATGCAGGGGAATAACTGTTCTCTGCCCAGAGCAGTAGATGAGATGTGAAGAAATAGATTTATGGAGCAGGTAGCTTGACATTAGGATCAGGCAAAAATGCTTTATCAGGTTAAGGAACTGAAACTCTAGAACAGGCTAGTCAGGAGGATTTAAGTCTGCCACTGAAACACCAAATGGAAAAAAACCCCATCTCTCAGGGGAGACAAAGGTCATCTAGATGATTTCTAAAGCTCCCATCAGACCCTCTGTTGCTGTGACCAGTAGGTACTGTATCCTTAGTGCAAATGAGCCTGCTCGCTTCCACCGAGAGCTCTCAGCTTGCACTAGCCATGTATAATTAATCCATTCGCTAGAGATGCACAGCTGACAAGGGCTTAAAAGTACTGGGGATCACTCGATACACATCAGCAGAGAGTGTCTTCCTGTCATTCACAAGGACCCACAGAGAGGAAAGAAAACAGCATTTTTGTTGTGCTCTGTTAGATTGGCAGGTATTAGCTTGAGCAGAGAC